CCGAGTGAAGCAGCAGCCACAGCAGCATGAGGAGCAACGTAACTGGACAGCGCAGGTGTGTGTGGGGGGGGGGATAAACTCTAGGGGTCCAGAGTAGAGGCAAGGAGACGGTTAGGACGCTGTTCCAGGATCTGCAAGAGCTGGGGGGAAGCTCTTGCCCGCTAGAACAATGGAGCCGGGAGAAGGGCTGGGATCCTTCTGGACAGGTTTGGAAGGTTGGATCTTCAGGTTCCTCTTCCGATTTCTGTGAGGTGTGACAGAGTACCCAGGCCAACACAAATGTCAGTGGCTCTCTTCCCTGAAGTGGCCACCGTTGCTTTCCTCTCTGCCCTTCTGCAGCATCAAAGTACACAGGAGGTTTGCCAAAAGACTCGGAGCCCGGCCTGGCTTCCCTCTGTGCCGTGGCCCATGCTGTGTCCGCAGGCTGATTGGCCGACCCTTGAGAGTCTTGGGTACTATGTTTGCAAGATGGAAATTGATCTTAAAGCCCCAAATGAAATAATAAATTCTTGTAATGGTGCTTAAAGCTACCTAGGAGAAGGTGTCATAATGCTGGAAACATTTCCAGTGGCCAGCAATGCTGTGTTTAATGAGGAAGGACAACCTTCCCCCTAATGTTTTGATCCTGCAGCGGGAGAGATTGAGGGACTTGATGAATAAGAACCTGGGGTGGGAGGAGATGTCTGGGGGGGTGGACTGAAGTGTCCTGAGGCCCAAACTTGGGGCCGAGGAAAGCTGTCCACATGTCACCTTTGCAGATGAGACATGAGGCCCTCAGCCGATCCTCCTGAGGGGTCTTGAACTGCCTCCTAAACCATTCGAAGTTCACAAACAGACACAAACTTCTGTTAGAAGTGAGGCTGCTGCCTCCCTCAGGAGAGGCTTGGTGAACATGGAGCCCAGGCTGGAAGTCCGGGGGTGGGGGGTGGCAGTGCTCTACTTCTTGGTCTGGATGTGGGTGTCCTGGGTTTGCCAGTTTCTGATAATTCAACCAGCACAACACTTATAGTATGTGCTCTTTCTGCACCTAGGTTCAACAGCATTCAGACATCTTTTTAGAAAGGTAACGGAAAGTTATTCTTCTCCCCAGAATAAGGCTCCCACGCAGAAACTAAAATCCTGCCTTTAGAGGGTCAGTAATTTCTGCTCAAATTCCAGCTGCCTTAGAGAGAATTAGCAGATAAAATTGCCAATGGCCACGGACGGTTCATATCAAAGAGTAGAATTGGGGGGATTTTGTGTCAGTGGTTCCGTATAGCATTTCCTATTTTGTGTCCAGTTTCCTTCACTCAAAATTTTGTCTGAGAGATGCCTCCAGCCTGCTACCCGTAGGAGCCGATCTTCCACTCCTGCTCCATACAGTGTTCCATTGTATGGTTGGAATACAATTCACTTATTCATGCGGTTGTGGATAGGCGTTTGCATGGTCTCCAGGCGGGTACCATCTCTGGTTGCATCACTGGGGTTGCACTCCTGGTGTGTGTCTTTCCGTGACCATATGGGCACCTTGCTCCCAGGTGTGTGCCCCGCCACACTGAGGAGGCAGCCTCTCTCCTGGTCAGAACATAGGATTGGTTTTGTTGCCGGGAGACTTAGCAGGGAAGGGTCCTTAGGGCATGCCCCCCCCCCAGAATCAGAGATCCCTAGGACATAGGGGAGCGTCTCTGAACTCCTGCAAGAGAGATGTGCAGTGGTGGCCTGAGTCACCTCTGGCCACCACCTGCCTTGCCACCTGATCACCTGGGGGCTCTTCCCTGCCCTCTTTGGGGAGGGCAGCAGATGTTAAGGGAAAGGATGGGTCATCCTCATCTCATCTCCCCAGCCTGTGCCAACCAGGCTGCAGGAAGCAGGCGGGGAAGATCCCTTGCGTGCTAAGCCAGCTCTGCTGAGCAGGTAGGGCCGGGCTGCCCTGCGGGGAGCACCCGGCCCCTACCCACCTGCAGGCTCATCAAACACCTCGACAGGCTGCCTGAGTGGGAAGCCGATGATGTCATCTCAGGCCTGAACAATCAGGCCTTTCAGGGCAGGACGGTAACAATCAAAACAGTGTGTAGGGCCTGCCGCACAAGGACACGCGCTCACCGCCCTGGGAGGGCCTGCAAGCCAGGCAAAGCGAGGCTTGTCAGGAATAGGCATAGCCAGCAGGCCAGAGAACGTAGCCCGGAGAGCCAGGCTGCAGGTGCCAGGACGCTCAGAGAAACCTGTGACTCTCCACTACCTCCCCCAGGGCAGCTGGCCTTCAACCCAGAACTAAACCCCAGGCTGAGCCATAATCCACGGGGTTCATGCAGGGGAAGCTGGGTACAAGGATGCAAGGTACAAGGTGCCCTCGAGGTTGGCACCCCAGTCAGGCTGGCACCAACCACTGTCTCAGGACCTGGGGAGAGGAGCCTGGGGGTTCTGAGCCTCGCTCCCACCTCCAGCCCTAGCAATCTTGTCTTGCTGCAGCTGAGCTCTCCAGAAGACTCACTTCCATCAAACCAAATCATCCTTGGTGAGCTTCCTGAGACCAGAGGCCTGGTGCACACTGCACACTAGAGATAGCTCAGACATCTGCCGAGTTAGCCAGCTTGCTTGTATTGCTCATATGGGCCGGTGGATCTCAAGCCAGGGCAACGTCATCCTGCAGGGGACTGTGGCCATGTCTGGAGATAATTCTGGTTGACGCTGGCTATGGGTATCTAGGGGGAAGAGGTCAGGGTTTCTGCTAACCATCCTACAAGGCCCCTACAAGAAGGGACCCCCATGTCAAGGAACTTGTGACTGAGCATCCCCAGTGGTGATGTTGACAGCCCGTGCTGTGGTGAGCCATTCAACCCGGGTGTCTAGGATGGTCTGATGGGTCTGTGTAAGACCTGGAGCGTGGTCTGTGTGAGACCACGCACGGCTCAGGTTTAGAAGTTCCACTCGGTCACTTCCCATCTGGTAACCCTGTGAAATGAGGAGCGATGCTCAGGAGGCGATTCAGAGGACCACGCATGCAGCCACCTGTCAAATGCTCACAAACACGCCTGACACTTAGTAACCCCTGGTAAACGGCAGCAAATAGGATCATCATTTTTAACTCCAGCCACAGGGCCTCGGCTCCTCTGACGGCATGGTAACGGAAGGCTGTTTCGGCCACAGGGCGCGGGGTTTGCGTGGCTCCTGGTGCGTGCCCTGTGCTGACTCACAGGGAAGCTTCCCCCAGGCTCAAGCGAAAGGTTTGAGTGCAGACAGACAATACATGGATTTCAAGCCCCCACGTCACCCAGTGACTGACTCAGCCCAGGATTCTGCGTCCCAAAGACGGGGTGGGGACCCTGGGTAGAACCCCAGGGTTTCGGCCTTAGAGGAGCTCTGGGCTGGGCAATTATTGCTCAGGCTTAAAAAAAAAAAAAAAGATTCCGCTGGGAAAGACTCAGAGGACAAATGGGGAGGATGTTGAGGGTGACAGGCTTTGCATCAGACATTTGATGTTTTCATTTGTGGGTCGGCTCTGACTCGGGGAGGGGAGGAAAGCCTGGGTGGCCCGTGCTCTCACATCTTGGCTTATCTGCTCCTTCTTCCTTTCTGCAGTGCGCTGCCCCTCTCTATTAAATCTGCCCCCTTTCTTCTAAGTCCATCTAGAAGGTGGCTCATCCAGGAGGGCTCCCCATGGCCTGCTCAGTGCTCGGGGTCTCCACCACAGCTGCCAGCAGGCTTGGGTGTGTCCTTCTGCCCTGTGTGATTGTGAACTTGAAGGTGGGGTCCTTCTCGGCCTTGTCTTCCCGTGTGGTGTGAGCTCTGGCCTGGTCCAGGGGCCTGGGGCTCCGGTCACTCCTGGGAAGCTGGCCACCTTGCTGACCAGTGCCCGATTCCCACCAGAAGTCTCAGAACTGAGGAGGCTGAAGAGGACTCCCTGTGAGGCCCCGTGGGCACAGGCTGTGGGGTCGGAGGCCTGAGTGCCCGGCTCAGCACTGGCCCCTACAGGAGTGGGCAAATTTACCAGTAGCCACCGTGGGACAGGCACCCAAGCTGGGCTCAGGGCTGTGACTGGCTCACAGTGATTGTTTCTCCCCACACAGGAACCCTGCAAGGGGTGCAGAGTTAGGCCCATTTCACAGACAAAGCAGAGGCTGGCACTGGATTGACCACGGTGCACCTGGGGCTCCCATCCAGGGGTGTGTGACTCACATTCAATGGGTCAGATGGCCTCCAGAGCCATTAAACTTGTCTGGGCCTCTATTCTACCATCTCAGTGAAGGTGTCCAGCAAGGTGACCTCCAAAGGCCCTGTGGCCCAAGTGCTGTCTGGCCTCTAACTGCCGAGCTAGGACTCCGAGCAGAAGGAGCTCTAGGGAGATGAGAGGTCAGCCCTGGGGAGATGGGCTCAGGCCTCTCTCAGGAGGCAGGGGCAACAGCCCACCAGGATTGCCCTGGCTTCCTGTTTCCCGTGTCTTGGCATCAACGATCTCTCAAGATAAGGACAGGGCCCGAGAGGGCTCCCTACCTAGTAGCCTGGAGGGACCCGGCCATGTGCCTCTACCAGGCTGAGACAGCAAGGAAGAAGAGTGACAAAGCCCCTCCGGCTGCTCACTTCTGCCCTGTGTGCAGACGGGAGAGGCCCAGCCCCGACGGCGCCCTTCACCCTGCCTGCACCACCCTGGCACCCCTCGTGAGCCGGCCTCCTCCATCTGCTGGGAGTCAATATTTGTGAGTGAGCCCGGCCCCCACCCCCCGCAGGTCTCCCACCCCCGGGGCTTTCCAGCTGCCTCTGGCCCTAAGCAGCCTGAATTGCTCCTTTGTGTCCCTGCCCAGGCTCAGAGCAAAGTGCTGCTGTCCCTGCAGGGCGGCCACCTCTTCCACCCTGCAGTGCTCGGCCAGCCTCGGGGTGTCACTCAGGGCAGGGCAGGAGACAGCAGCCCTCAGGGACTGACCTGGCACCCCCAAGGCTGGCAAGGTCACACGGGAGCTGGCTCTTTAAAGGGAGGTGTGGGTGACCAAGGGTCCAGAGGGTTGGGACTTGCACGAGACCACTGCGAGTGTTGCATCGGCGTTTATTTTTGAACATCTCCGTTTCCAGGGTTCTGCCTTCCCTTCCTGTCAGGTTGAAGTCCTCATCCCCAGTTTGCCTTTGCCACCTAACCTTGGGTGCTTCCAAGGGTGACCAGCTCATCCCCCTCGTCCTGGGATGGGGCTGGTTTAGCACTGAGATCCTGGGTCCAGCTCCAGGCACATGGGAATGGTTGGGAACCCTGTGTGCACCTCAGAGGTCCCCTGACCCCTCGGCCTCCTGGTCTGCGCACTGCTGGGAGGCTCCGGGGTTGGACGTCCACCGCCACTCATCTGCTCTCCGAGTCCCAGGAGGGAAGTGCTGGTCGTCTTCCTGTCTGCCGCTCGCTCCTCCTGGGGATTGAGAAAAAGTTAAAGATCAATGTACACTGGGAAGTGGGCTTTGGGAACCAACCCTGCTTCAGACCTCAGGGCTGGACTCGGGGTCAGTGGCTCTCTGGGCCTGTCCGTCCCTGGCAGATTCCCATTCCCAAGGGAAAGGAAGGGCGATGTTTGGACGCCCAGGCCAAACGTACCTCCTCCACGAGGCAGCCCTCCAGGACAGAGCCTTGGCTCACCTTCCTGAGAGAGGCCTCCCCAGGGCACTCGGGCCCCCTCGGGCAGCCGACAGCCTGGCCCAGGGACACCCTGCCCTGTGAACCCGCTCTCCTAGCCTCCACCACGCCTTCCCTGGAGGCCCTTCCCAGCCTTCTGGCAAAATCCCCTCCTTATTGCTTCCTGGCAGACCCTGGTGACAGGTCACCCTGGGGCTTGGCGGCCATGGGAAGGGCACCGTCAGAGGGCAGCTGGCGGTTCTGTTGGTGAAGGGCCCTTCCTTCCGCCTTCGCTTCCCTCCCGTCTGCTGGTCAGGGGGCAGTCTAGAATGGTGTCTTTGTGCCGCTGTTTGGGAGGGCCCTGGGTGGATCTGTTCCCCGCTTGCTTTTGGCATCGTCCCAGCCTGTTCTGGAAAGGAAACCTCTCATTTGGGCTTTCCTTTCCCCAGGCTGCAAGGAGGGAGGCCACCCAGCACCACTCAGCCAGGAGCCTGCCATGCAGTGTCCCCTCAGGGGGAGACCAGAGGGGTGCACAGTAGGGCTGCAGGAGGCCGGGGGCTTCTTCCACGCCACCAGCTCCTGGGAGGTCCCCTTTCCTTCCCTTTCCCCGCCAGCCTATCCGGGGGGGCCCTTCCTGAGTCAGTGCCCCCTCACCCTCCCAGGCCTTCATTCCCTCTGCACCTCATTCACCGTCACACCTAACTCGGCTTCGACCCTCCTGCTCTTCGTTTGCTGGGATCCCCTCCGTGGCTTCACGTTCTGCAGGGAGTGAGCACCCCGTCTTCAGGCTGCCAACGCAGTCCCTAGTGGCCCCTGGTGTCCTCGACCTGGAACCCGTGCTGGGGATCGGGACAGCAGGGGAGGAGCTCCTGAGACCCAGGCGGGCTTGGCAAGCATCCTCATCCCCTCTGTGACTTCTTATCCAGAGGTTCTCGGTGCTGTTCCACGCTCTGAAATAAATCTGCCGGCCCAGAGTCCAACGCCACGACTCGTCAGGACCTGTAGGAGAGGGGCCGAGATCCTGGCCTCTGCTAAGGCTCCCTGGTGACCGAGAGCTGTGCCTTGAAAGAGCTGTGGACTGAAATCACCTTTCAGGGCTGATCCACGTGGTGGGGAGAAGTAGAGGGTGTGGAGGGGTCCGGGCCCTTCCATGGGGTCACCTCTACGTAACGGCTGTGGACATCTCACAGGGCACAGCATACAGACCAAGGGAACATGGCCCTGGGGAGGGAGAGCCACGTTCACAAGGCCGTGTAGGGAGGCAGGAGAGGCAGCCCTTGGTGAGAGTGCAGGAGCCCAGCAGTGCTCCAGGAGACACGAGGTTGGCCCAGCGAGGCAGCGCCCTGCTGAGAAACCCAGCGGCGGCGGGGTCCAGAGGGTGTGGCGCCCGGTTGGGCTGGAAGCCCTGTGCCAGAGCCGGGCAGGGCAGAGGTAACGAGCCTTGCCAGGGATGGAAGAAAGGGGTTTCTGTGCTGCTTATCGGGATGGTGGCTCCCAGGCAGGATGTGGAGTAGGCTTCCACAGCCCGCCCTGGGGATGGCTGCAGTTAGTGCCTTGTCACGGCCAGGACTTTGGACAGGGCGCGCCACCTCTGACTTGCTAGTGACATTAGCTGGCAGCCCTGTGGTCATGCTGGGGGTGAGTCGTGTTGTCCTTGTGCACACGGGGACAGATAATGACAGCATCTGAAAGGCAGCCACCAACTGCCATTTTCACAAGACCTGGTGGGGCCCCTCAGCCTCCCTCGCTGGAAAGAAACCGTGGACTCAGCTTTCAAAACGTCAAGAAATAATAATAATAATAAAAAGTCAAGAAAGCTGATTGTGTTCACTCAGCCAGCTGGGGGGCAGCAAGGAGATGCTGAAGGAGGTCAGAGGGAAAGTGTCCACTGTAGGTGGCCGGGAAGACAGGGTGGGACTGAAAGGTTGGCGGGAAGGTGCCCATAGGTTTGTTTTGTTTTGTTTTTTGGTACCAGGGATTGAACCCAGGGGCGCTTAATCACTGAGCCACATCCCCAGCCCTTTTTATATTTTATTTTGAGACAGGGTCTTGCTAAGTTGCTGAGGGTCTCGCTAAGTTGCTGAGGCTGGCCTTGAACTCGTGATCCTCCTGCTCAGCCTCTGTAGTCCCTGGGATTACAGGCCTGCACCACCACGCCCAGTTTGCCCATAGGTTTGCTCCTTTCTCCCCTGCTCCTGGATAGGCGCTCAGGGTCTGCTTGACCACGGACAAGCTGTAGTTCCGCCTGCAGCTGATTGGAACAGGCTCCTCGGGGCCCTACATCGTGAACAGGCATAGACAGTGTGTCCCAAGGCTGGATGTGTAGTCCTACACCTGGAGCCCAAGAGGCAAGCTGTGAGCTGTTGAGTGATCCCGAAGCCCTGCTCCCGGGCAGAGACGGGCGCTCATCATTCCCCCGCTGCCCCCTGCAGATCCACAGAGCCCAGGGCCTTTCCAGGGAGAAAGGGAACTCTTGACCCTTTTATCCAGCCCTATAGACCAGCTGAGGACTGATGGTGGGGGGATCAGAAGACCTGGAAAAGCAGGCGGCCCAGAGGGCCCACCAACTGGTACCTGTGCACACTTCAGGAGCAAGGGAAGAGCAAGACCTTTCCCCTGACAATCCAGCCAGGTTTCTCTCTGATCCTCGGATCTCTCCTGCTCCCCATTCTCTCCTGTTGAACCAGGACAGAGCAGGGCTGCCTTGGAGGGTGGGTAAAGCCCCTGTCCCTAGTAGAGGTAATTCTCAAGGAGAGAATTGAAAGACTGACTGTCTGCAGATACCAAGGACAGAATCTTAAGGGTCACCCAGAGCTGACTCTCGGGACTCTTCATCCAACGAGGGTTGAATGAAGCACTCCAGCCAGTGCGGCCCCTGCCGTACCCTAAAGATAACCTGTCACCAGGGACCCAGGACAGGTGCTGGGCGAGGACCCACATTCCTCCCTCCTGCCATGTGTGCCACCTGCCTCCGCGTGGGCCCTAACCTTCTCCTTCCTCCCAGTCACAGTCCCCACCTGGGTCCCTGGTGCCAACGGAGGGCTCTGGGCTTTGACCAGGAGCCGCCAGCCGTGTGTTTTCACAGTCCAAACCGAAGCTTCACGTGCCTTCTTGGTTTTCTTCAGGAACTTGGCCATTGGGATTGGAATCCAGAACTTCCCGGAGGGCCTGGCCGTCAGCCTCCCCTTGCGAGGGGCGGGCTTCTCCACCTGGCGAGCCTTCTGGTAAGTGCTCAGTGCTGCCGGCACAGGCAGGGTCGCGCCGGATTTGAGGAGCACGTGCACCAGATGAGCTTCCTTCTCCAAGAACAGGCTTTCCATAAGACACCCATGACATGGGTCAACATGGCTCCCCACCGGATAGCCTTGTCTCTGACCCTCGACCTCTCCACACACCGGCCTGGGTGGCCGGGCTCCCACTGCGAAACCTCTCTGTGGTGAGCACACCGTGCCCATCAATGCGGAGTGCACCTGCTCTACGTGCCACGGGCCTCAATGAACGTGACCCTCATGGCCACCCCAGTGGCTGCCCATGCCCGTCAGCATGAAGACACGAGCACGGCCGCACATCTGGGTGATGGCCACTGCTGCCCTCATCCACGCCGGTGCTTCCCCCCCAGCCCCCCGCCACGGGCTTCCCTAACTACCTTCAGCATCCACCGTCGGGCCCACGATTCCCACGGGGGAGCTGGGGAGTCAGAGGGTCCTCCCGAGTCACCTGGCTCACCCATGGTGACTCCTGATGAGACAGGCTCCCTGCCCTCTGCTCGGGGTTCCAAGCCTCGGGTACTTCTTTGTTAAACGATCTGTTCTCTGGGATGTACAGTGAGCACACTGTAAAGGACGGTGAATAACCACAATTTAAAAATGCCTCCACTTTACAGGACCTCATGACTTACAAGTTCTTGCCCACACTCACTCCACTCTGCTTCCACCCTCTGTGACCCCCCTCCAGTGTTGGAGTCCACTGATAGAGGATCTGAGCCAGGACACATCAAGTGGCCTTAGAGACCTTTGTGTGTGAGAGCTGTGGCTCTTACTTCACCCACTGAGCTGCCAGGAAGACGGGGGGAGGGGGCCAGCGGCGGCCCCAGCCCACTGCAGCCTGGGCTTGACGTCAGAGCCACACTTTCCTCGGGTGACTAGTCAAGGTCACGACTTGTACAAACCAAAGAGCTGCCGGTTCGACTGGCTACTCCTGAAGGCCTGGGGAGCCAGGAAAACATGGCCCCTGAGAGGATTCCGCAGCAAAGCCGGGCTCTGCTCCCAAGCTCACCTGCTGCCCTGGCCAGGAAGGGGTCCGAGATTCAGAGTCCTCACAAGTTGTCCTCTCCTTTGGGGAAACGGGGTGGGGAAGACGCCCCTGACCCCATTTTACAGAAGGAGGGACTGAGGCTCACAGGCGGTATGGTCTTGGCCATCCGTCTTCCTTTTCCTTCCTTTGCTGAGGGTTGAACCCAGATCCCGGGAGCTCGTTAGCACTGAGGTACCTCCCACATCCCAGCCCTTCCTGGTTTCTCTTTTGAGTCAGGGTTTTGCTAAGTTGCTGAGATGGGCCTAGAACTTGCAATCCTCCTGCCAGAGGCTCTGTTTCTTGCCAAACGCCCCCCGCAAAAGAGGTGCCCTGACTTTTTGTCTGTTGCTGTGGGGCTCGGGTTTTGGCTTATGGCCTGCTCTCAGAATTCTCAGCACTCCTATCTGCTGCCGTTTCAATCAGAACTCATTTAATTTCAAAAAACACAGGCCCCCTCTCGCCTGCTCAGATAAAGGGAGAGATCCCGTCTTCATCCAACGTGGGAGTGGAGGGACAAGGCTCTCAATACCCACGTAGCCAAGTGGCTGCCCCCCTCCAACAGGTAGCCACTGTGGCCTGAACCCCCGAGCAAGCCAGCCTCAGCTGTCCATGGGTAATGCCCATCACTCCTAACTAGCTTCCTGTGGCTCGATGTGGGCGTCAATGAGATGAGCGTCTACACGATGTGGGGTAGCCCCACGGCAGAGTGCTGTTCATCCGTTTAAAGGACTGTGGTTCGAGACTACGCGTGCCCAGTGAGAAGCAGCAGGAAAGGACCACGTATCCTATGGTTCCCTTTACACGGAACACTCAGAGTGTGTAAATCCACAGAGGGAAACCAAAGTAGGTTTTTAGTGCTCAGGGGTGGGAGGAGCCACAGTGGCAGCTAATGTGTATGGGATTCTTTCTGGAGTGAGTGAGAATGTTCTGGAATCAGGTGGGGTGACGTTTACACGACCTTGTGAACACCCTGAAAACCACCAACTCCAGGTCAGGTGGGCGTGCCGCGCGGCAGGGGAATGTGCCTCAGTGATGCTGATATTTTCAAGGAAGTACGAAATTGAAGGCCTGAAGGGAATTGGATGGGGTCCTGTGAGACCTGTTTTTGCCCAGCCGTGCTCCGGTGGGAGGTGGGACTGGATGCACCGTGGTCAAGGGCTGGACCACCAGCGAGGGGGTGCCGAATGTCTGCTGGGCTCCCTGCAGCCGCCTGTCTCTGTTCCTCCCCAGGTTCGGGCAGCTGAGCGGCATGGTAGAGCCGCTGGCCGGGGTCTTTGGCGCCTTCGCGGTGGTGCTGGCCGAGCCCCTCCTGCCCTACGCTCTGGCCTTTGCTGCTGGCGCCATGGTCTACGTGGTCATGGACGACATCATCCCCGAAGCCCAGATCAGGTGCGGAGCTCCCGGGAACCCGCTCTCTGCCTTGGCCTCTCCTGCTTGCTTCCGTGATCACCTGCCACATGCCCTGGCCCTGGGAGACGCGCACTGTCGTTTTTGTGTCCTGTCTCTGCCTCTCTGGATCCCTCTGGGCCTGAGTGTTAGTCCGCGTGATACGCACAAGTTCCACTATCCAGCTACGGGCTGGCTGTCGGGTGACAGCAGGAGGGACGGGGCCCTGCTTTGTGTCATTCTGGCTTTTGTAGCAGAATAATTTTTAAGCCATCGCATAAGGTCAGATTAAATAATATCTTTGTGAAATCACTGTTTATTCTTCAAGTATACAGACTAAAGAGCCCTGGGCAGGTGACTTCTCTACGCCTCTGTTCCCCACCCACCCCCAGGAAAATGGGGATAATGGGGACGTGGACCTCATGAGGCCTTTGCTTGGGATTAAGAGTTAGTCTGTTTGCCTGACGTGTGGTTAGGCCCAGGAAATGTCCCCGTTGCTAACCGTAGAACACGCTGCTGGAACTGGACGTGGCGGGGAGCCTTGGTCCGCAGGCGTGGTCTCAGGGGCGCTAAGTTAGTCTCACTCTTCTCCCTCTCCTTCCCTCCTAGTGGCAACGGGAAGCTGGCATCCTGGGCCTCCATCCTGGGATTTGTGGTGATGATGTCACTGGACGTGGGCCTGGGCTAGCTCTGGGTCACGACACCCCCCCGGAAGGACAGCACCAGACCTCGATGGGACCACGAGCCTTTCTTCACATTGAACTATTGCTCCCTTCTCTC